TTTTAAATATGAAAATAAAGTTTTAAAATTCTGGTCTTGATCAGTTTGGGGAGTTTCTCTGACCACGCCTATCCGAATCGAAGAGAGCTAAGCTCTAGCTCCTTTCCCCTTCGAGTTGAATTCGGCTTCACACAGACGGACGGACGGACAGACGCGTCAAGAAAATTATTATAGTTGATATTTGCGACAACATGTGATATGGAGCCAAACGAAGAACTAAAGTGTGTAAGAAGCTAACCACGGTAGCCAAAAATTGAGGTATGTAAAAACCAGTGGAAAAAGACCGCTTCACGGCCCTTTTCCACTGGACCCCGTCCAGAAACCATGAATTTGAATACCTTCTTTTTTTGGGTCTGCGGCGCAGGTACCTGAGTAAAGGATCCATTCTTTGGCCTGCGGCGTCAGAGACAGCGTTGCGCTAGGATAATTGGGTCTGAGGCGCTAGTTACTGGTTCCCCCCAGGCTTGGCCTGCGGCGAGCCTGGGCCAAGGACCCATCGTTGGCCTGCGGCGCAAGAGCCTGGTTCAAGCCCCTTTTCTTCGGCCTGCGGCGCTAGAGCGACGGTCAGGCCTAAACCTCGCACATTGAGAGCCTAGAAATACGTTCTGTTGCTAAACTACCAAAAAGCAAAAAGTTGGATTCTCCCAGGAATCGAACTCCTGACCATACGTGTAGTAGACCGCGCGGCAACCCACTACCCCACAGGGACGATGAGAACGGGTGGCCCGAAAGGCCTCTTCTTTCTGGGGAAGGCTGGGGGGGAGGGGTGGCAAAGAAAAGGGCGTCCCAATGATCCCGGGCGGGTGGCCTCCTGGTCACTTTACAAAACTCGATCTTTGCGTACGAATCTGCTGAAAATTTCTAACGATAATAAGATGCGCGTGATCCCCACTATCGAATACATAATTTGTCCAAATTTCAGCCCGGAATCCCATCAGGGCTTCGAGTTAGGGCCCGGACACCACGGCCCGTCCCGCGATTTATTAAGAAACTTTCAGAAAAATCCTTATAAAAACATTATTTAATAAAATCTGGCAAAACGCAAAATTATATATCGGGAGAATTCGCTTTTCAATCTACCCTCCAAAAATTAGCGCTGAATTTCTTTTGGATCGCGAGATATCCTCTGTACAAACCTTTTTTTGGCCAAAATGTTAAGGGTTTTTCACTATTTTGCTTATGAAATCGTTAAATGAAGGAATTTCGAAAGACAAAAAAATGCTTATAAAGAGGATGTGTGTCTCCACCTCCATGCCAAAAATCAGCCGGGAATTCGGCCTGACGGCCGAGAAATCGTCTGCACAGAAAACAGACATACTTTTCTCGCTTATAGGATAGGATTTCCGAAGAGCAACCATTTCGGTAGTAAGTCCAGGCAGCTGCGTTGAACAACAGTAAAGCTTGTAAATAGGCTGGATGCACAAGCTTGCCATAAACGGTCATATCTTGCGAAGAACTTCAAGAAGTCCTTGAAGTCTCGGCTCCAGGGACTAGACGGAAACGAGGACGACTTCCTATATTGATATTCCGTCATAACAGGGCATCAGGTCCCTGCGGACATCCACAACAGTAGACACAACAGTCTACCCGAGTCGATGTGAATTGGGATATTTTTTATGCCATACCTATATTGCGCTAATGGTTTACATCAGCGCTAGTACCATGAAATTTTCACGTGCTAAAATTTCATGTTTATTATCAAAATCGAAAGAGAAAAATAAGTATAATTTCGTGCGTCAAAATCGTCGGCTTCGGCCAGGTAAGATTTTTCAAGGCTAATAGTTACAGAATCGATTTGAACCAAAAAAGCCATCAATAGTTCAAATTTTTAGAAACGGGTTCTGTCGAATGCCATTCCATCCGAAATAGTGCTACTACAGAACAACCAGATAAACCTTGCAATCAGCAATGTTCCCAAGGCTGTGATAATCTGGAAGGTTGTCTAAGCTGTTTCGGTCACAGGCCTAATTTCTTAAGGCTTGAAAGCGAGAGTTTTCTATAGTGGTTCCTTTGATATTATCGTCGAATCAAGGCCTTTATCACCACAAATTCTTAAACTGTTTAAAATATATTTCAGCCTCCTCATCACCAGCGAAGTTCAGTCGATTCCCATCGGCACTTCTCAATGTTTGTGAGGTTGAGCTCTAAACCCTATTGCCCCATTCTTTTCAAAAAACTTTACATTCAGATTGAGCAACGCATAAAATCGCGTCTTCAGTTCAAAATCCCCGAAAATATAGACCCATATCAACACCGTATTCTGGAGATTAGATCCCTTAATCAAGTCATGAATCCCATACCTCAACCGCAAAAATAATAAACATAACGTAGGTGTAGAACGTTTGCACATAGAGCGAATTATCGACAAGGAATTGATACATTAGCAACACCGAGGTTGAGGCAAAGCATTTATAAGGGGCGATTTGGAGCAATACTCGCGACGTTTTGTAGTTTGTTTGGGTGTTGTACCTGAAATATCGTTTCCTCTTATTTGGTAGAGCAATTTTCGGGAGCTAATCGAATTTTCGCAGGATGCTAAGCACCAGGAAAAGTGGCTTAAAGCGCCGAAAATACCAATTTTTGCAAGCCAACCGCAGGCGGAGGTTTGGAAACTTGGTGGTTCGCGATATTTTTTGAAAGCAAAACTACCGCAAATTAACCGTAGAATATTTCTTCTCATATACCATTCGATACTGTCGCCGACACACCCAATATAACCAACAATAAAACTAAATAAAAGAGTAAACAACATTTTTCTGAAATTACCGCAGCCGCCAGCGATTGTGGCAAATACATAGCCACGTAAATCATCCACGGAGCGATAAGTTGGGAGTAGAAAACGACGGCTATCGTACCATGCTCGAGGATCTGAACGAAGTAGATTAAATTAACCGATTACAAACCAACCGCAAGTATTATCAATATTTTGGCCATAGTATTACTAGAGTAGCGATCGTCATAAGTTTCCAAATGTTTCATAGCGATGTATCGCTCAAAAGCGATTGCAAGCGGCATATACCCAGCTGTTCCGCCAACTAAAAACATCCACGAATCGTACAATTGACGTAGACAAAACTTACTAAATTCACTGAAAAATGATAGGGCTTGGAAGCGAATGGGTTCTTTTAAGTGACCGGAAATTTGCAAGAGGTGACGTGACATTCTGAATGCAGAAGCGACCAGGGCAGCACCAGGTTGATAGAGAAGCAGTAAGGTCAGATTCGGATGGAATCGCTGCAAAGATATAATTTAAGCGTCGATTTTTATGGCTAAAGATGCTCTTGACATTTTTCTCTGAATACAAATTGCCAAAATTCGTCGCTTTCGAGATAAATTTTGTTTATCGAGAACTTACTCTTTTCTTCGTCAACAACGAACAGAATATAACAAATGAGAATAGCACTACAAAATCGAAGAAAAATTCAAGAACCTAAATACATATTTCGGCGGTAATCAGACGCCAAACCATCAAAAATGGAAACCATTTTTCCATGTAAGCCGGGTGCACCAGTGCTCCATACAAAAGGGCAGCCATTTTAGAAAGTAGAACGAAAAGGCTGATAGAATAGGAAATGCTGCCGGAAAAAATGCGGGGCCCGGTCGTAGCGGCCTTATTGAACGAGTTATAATGGCCGCGTAATGTGATGGGGCCACAATTCCATTGGCTCTCGGGCCTGGTTCCCGGCGCGACGCGTTCTCACGATTCCTCGAAAATAACGGGTTGCGAGCGTGACGATGTGCGCTTGAGCGAGTTGCTCAAGCGCAAGCGTTAATAAGGTAAATTGGTATTGCGACAACAGCAAGAAATGACAATAATGATTGTATGAAAAACAGTAAAGACTTCAAATCAGGTGAATCTTGTTTCAAAACGGAAGTAAGAGCGGGAAAATTCGTTTTCTTGACTGGACGGACACCGGCAAGACGCCGAAAATATTCATTAGGAAAAATGGTGGCAGATCAAAATAGCATTCCTACTTCCGCCCTGATTTTTGAGCAGCAGCACCTAAGATTAAGTCTCCATGGAATTCCGAACCACACTTTGGAATTTCTCAAGCCGCCCTTCTTCACAAGCCTATAGAAAGTTATTCCCTTTACCTAGCACGTGAAACCGAAATTCCTGTGCAACAAACCACAAAAAACTACGGAATTAACGCATTTCCCTGAATGTAGGAATAACTTCTACAGACCTCAGCGCACACCTCATCAATTTTTGAGGGAATTTTTGATATGCGTGAAATTCTAATGTTTATTCCATAGCTTCACCACGAATTTTTCAGCTGGGTAAAGTAAATCTCTGTTTCCTGATTGTTGTCAAAAGCCAGCCGTTGCCCGTTTGCGCTCCGTAGTGATTCGTTGGTTGGGACCTGAAGTATCAAGTATTTAGTACCTTACCGTATTAAACCTACGCCAAAATTTAGCATCGAATAGAACTGCACTTTCAGCTCTGGGTCCCCAAAAATATAGATCCAGATGAGGATGACGTGCTAAAGAATATTGACCTTGGGAGGAAATTAATAAGATGATACCTCAACGTGGTAGATTAAAAACATCACATAGGTATAAAACGTTTGGGAGTATATCGAGTTGTCGACGAAGAATTGATAGAGCACGAGTACCGATACGGCAACAAAGCACTTGTAGGGGGCAATGCGAAGTAATAGACGGGATGTCTTGAAGTTTGTTTGAGTGTGATATCTGCAAAAAGGTATACTATTAAAGTATACTTTACTACATTTTAAGCTTTAATACTTAAATATGCTTAATTAAAGTATATTAAAGTGTGTTTTTAAGCACAGATAAGTGATCAAATCATAGATATTAGACAATGAAGCGCATACCTAAATTAGTCGTTCAATACTTACCTTGACTCTATCGTTGAGTACTTTTTAAGATAAACCTGCTGATATCGTTGTCGGCAAGCCCGATATAGCCAAAAATAAAACTGAAAAATAATTATTTCCAACCCAAAAAATCCTTGCCCAAGCCGCTAAAAATTGCGGGAAATACATGGCATTGTACAGCCAAAAACCCGGGAACCAATGAGCATACAGGGCCACGGCTTCGATGAAATGGATGAAGAACTTGATTGATTGAAGTTAAAATACTTTTGACCACGTTACCATGACTATAATTAACACTATCCCAAGTTTATCGCTTGGATATAGCTCCTCGTACGTTTCCAAATTTTTCATGGCTACATAGCGCTCGAGGGCGATGGAGAACGTCATGTAGCCTGACGTACCAGCCACTATAATTAATGCATCAGTTTGTTAATCGCTGGTTGAAGTAATTTGGGCAAAGTCTAGCCAGAATGCGTTTTTTTACACTTTATTCGCGTTGAAATAGGATCGCGACTGTGCCTATAACTAAAAATTCATCTAAGGTCATACAAAATCTATGAGTTACGAAGCGGCTATTGATGATTATAGTAACTATTATGCTAAAACTCACTAAAATCCGAAGCAAATGACAAGCATTTAAACTGAAATGGGTCGGTTAGAACCCCAGATTTTTGTAGAATATGCCGAATCATCCGTAGGATAGCTGCTACCAACACTGATGACGGTTGAAATAGCAGCATAATAGTCAAATTAGGGTGAAATCGCTGAAAATCGATATCATATCGATAATAACTTTTTTTTGATCACCTTCTTCCTCGTTAATAATGTATAAAATGGTATAAACGATCCCAGGACTATCAGCGCAAAGGTTAATTCTATTATCTAAACAAAAACCGTAGGTTAAAGGTATGGCCTTACCATTAAATGCGTGAAATACTCTTCCATATATGCCGGGTGGACGAGCGCACCATAGCCACCCATTTCTGACAAATTAGTGAGCATAGAAATCTTGAAAATCGAGGTAGAAAAGCTTGAGAACAGCCCAAGAAAACTGGGATGTACCACGACCCGCCAGACGCACCGAAAAAGATGGGGAAGAGAGGATTGGGCCTTCTCACACACACCTTCCGAACCCGTTCCAATTATCCCGTTCACCCAGACACCCAGGACGTTCACCCAGGACGTATTCACGGATGGGCACCTCTTTTAAAAATTTCCGAAAACCGCGTATTTTGCGGAAAATAGCACGCGGGTTATGCGCTAATTATTTCCGGTGCCGCGTCAATGGGGAAAATGAAAGATAAAATTTCGGGGCATTGGATGTATTGTAGTGGAATTAACAAAATTCCGGAACTCCCACGGGACTTCAATCATGTTTTTGGGGGAACTTTGGTGCTAAAGCGTGGCTGATGGGGGAATCGAGAAGAAATGCAAAGAGATTTTTTCTGAAACGCCCTACGATGCACCGACCCGACCGCAATTTCTTATTAAAGAAAATAGAAGATCGTGTGGGTACATATTCGGTTCATCTCCTGCCCTTGAAGCATTCCCAAAATGAGCCGTGCTAGGCACCTTCATCAGCTGGATTTAGGAATTTTGAAGTATCCGGAGTTGAAAGGCGCCGGCTGGCAGAAAATGCTTTTTTTGTAGCTTTTCTACCTCTTGATTGGAGGGTATCGATTTTATCATTTTTAGTCTTTTAACTTTTATTTATTCCACATTGACGACAATTGTCCAAAATATACGTCCCCATGCTCTGTATTTACAATGTTCAATTTTGTCCCATTTGCACTTCTCAGTGTCCGATCCGGCGCTATTTTTGGGTTGACGATTGCCAATAGATGACCTCTCAAGTCGATGTCAGTTAGAATAACGATCCAAATTTGAAGGGTTAACTGCAAAACTACCTATTAAATTTCTGAAGTTTTTAACAAACCTGTAAATGGAAGAAAGTATATAGCATATAGCTATGAAAAGTCTGTCGATACTGGGAGTAGTTGACAAAATATTGGTATAACACAATGACAGCCGTCCCGACGAAGCATTTGTAGGGCGCGATATAGAGGAGAAGACGAGAGGCCTTGAAGTTGGTTTGTGTTTTGTACCTGGAAAGGCCATTTTTGGATGCGATCAAAAAAAAAGGCTTGATTTTTTGATTTAAGCCTCTGCAAGAAAAGCCTGAGCTATACACAAGAACGCACAAATTTTGTGTTTTACAAAAGTCTTGTGAAATGTAAACTACAGGCTACAATTCGGGTGCGAAGTTACGGTTTAATTGCTTGTATCAAACTCCATACGCCCAATTTTTTGAGCGAATGCTAAAAACAAAATTTAAAATTAAATTTTCCACCTCGCTTCAATCGTCGAATACTTCGTTTCATATACCGCCAAGTATTGAGCCCGGCACTCAAAGTGCAACCAGAAAAAGAACTGAAAATACCATTGAATAATTTAATATGGTCTAAAGCTTACCATAGTCGATAGAACTTGAATAATATAGGCACTAAAGTACGCATAAGCTGCTGGAATAACCTGAGTGTAGAGGGTTGAAAGCGTTCCGAAGAACATTATCATCTAAATCGCCAGCTATAAACGTATTAAAACGCTACCTACCGCAGCGGCTATAATTTTCCTCGCCAATACATTATTTGTATAAACATCCTCGTAACAACTTAAATTTCGCATGGCTACGCAGCGTTCGATGGCGAAGGCAAAGGTCATATTCAGGGAGATTCCAGAAACTAAGCCGAATTGAATCATTTCCTTTCTTAAACCTACAGTATTCCGCAAGAAATGATAAAATCTGGTAGGTATCGTTATCGATATGATCGGCCAATTGAAGGCCATGCCGTAAAAACCGGAAGACCGCAGATACGAGTACGGTGGCTGGTTGGAATAACAGAAGTAAAGTGAGGTTCGGATGAAAGCGCTGAAATTTTGTAGGTATCTAGTAAACTAGAACTTAATTTACCGCCTTTCTCGTTAATAAGTGATAAAATGGAATGTAAGTGAATAACGTCGTGAAGAAAGCCGCAAGTTCTAATGCCTCAAGAGCATAATTTTAATATGCTTTTTCCCACTCGAGGCTTACCATAAAATAATGGAAATAATCTTCAAGATACGCAGGGTGGACAAGGGCCCCGAATGCTATCATCTGAATCCCAAACATAGACAAATTTCGTAAAAAATAAAAAAACTTGAGGGCCGATGGTAAAGGGCAAACTCTGTGTAATCACGGTTGACTACTTACATTACGGTAAATCAGCATCTGCGTCAGGGATTTTTCTGAAGAGAATTTCGAAAGAATTTAGAGAATTTCTGAGAATGAGAAGCCACAGGGGCTTCAAAAGTGGCAAAACGAAATTTTTGCTAGCCAAAATTAACCGATTCATTCTGGATCACTAGTCGACGGTACGCCATATTTTTTTGCTTGCTTCATAGAACAATAACCTGTTTTTAAAGTGTGAATGAATCCAAATTCGTTGTCAACTCTTCACAGGCTCGTTAATTAACCACGAAAACTTCGTTATAAAATGAAAAAACCTAATAGGAATAGGCCACCGAACCAATACCATTAATGACAATGGCTTCTGCCGAATATGTCGTTCTGTTCGCGCGGATAATTGCCGTAACGGGTGTAATTAGGCGCTTATCGAAAAGTAATCGACAGCACCACCTAATTCGAAGCTTTCGTCTCTCACGGTTCATTTTGTTCGGGTTGCGTGACGAGGCTGCCGAAGAAAGCAGACAATTAGAGCGGCAAGTTTTATATTTATTTACTAAAAATCTGCAAGGACCAAATTTCATGCAGTGAAAAAATGCACAGGATTTCGTGATATTTATCATTTGAGGCGCAAAACAGCTCCATATAAAATTTTCTTCTTGATCCCAAGGGTTTCGTTTTGACAGTGAAATGGGTGCGCCGTATTTTGTGCAAACCATGTCCCGGTTTTATCAGGATGGCTACAAATCACACCGAAAGACCGCATATAACCTCGCATTTATAAACTCATTATGAAGCAGAAACTATACATTCCTTTATGCAAATCAATTCATACAACAAATAAGGTAATTTTTTATTTTGTTAAAGGCGAAGAAAAGGGACGAAAAGTTGGAATTTCGTTTTTCTTCTGACATCCTACGTGTCCTCTTTTACTTATGTAACGTATGAGAGAACTCAACAGACCCGCGTTGCATTCTACGGCACAAAAATATAATATTTTCTCGTACGCGCCTACGGAATTTTTTGAAAATTCTGAACCCGAAAATCAAAATAAACAACCCCGCCGGCTCCCCCGAACCCGCAAAACAACCCATTGTTTGAGATGGGAGCGAATTTTTGAGAAATTTCTAAAAACCGAGGCTGAAGATCGAATCCCCGCTCGAAAAGCCGCTAATCACATGGCTGCAGCCATTCCTTCCAAGGCATTTATTAATTCCACATGCTCCTCAATTGGGCAAAGTAGATGTTCGTCTCTTCCAGGCTCTCAAATTGCATCTTGTTGCCGACGGCGTCGCGTAGGTTGTTGGATACTTGAACTTTAGCGTTGAATAGGGCTTTGAAAGCGCTGCGCATATCGGCCTCCAGAAGGATGATCAGCCATATTTGACCGGCAATCTAGAGAAAACTTACAAGGGAAGGTTGTTTGGGTCAGGTGTCAAATCTTTCTGGAAATTTGCCAGTTGATACAAAATTGAAAACGGAACAAGGTGCGCTAAGTCGTTTTCTGCACAATACCCCTAATTAAAAAGTTATAAGCATTTTAAGTTTGTGGTCTGAAAAATGAGTTCTGCCCAGGCTTTTGCACCAATACCGCACCGTTTCCACATTTTCCTCATGGGTGGTTTCTTGACTCTCCACTCCCCACGTCTCTTCTAGCGCAATCGGTAGTGCGTTTGACTCACAATCTTTTGAAAATTTTTTGGCAAAAGTTCGAAACTAAAACTTTTCTATCTTTTGCCTTTTTGCTTTTTGCTCTTGCAAATTAGGGTTAGTTAGCGTAAAATCCAAAAAGCAAAAAGTTGGACGCATCAAAGACTTGAACTCGATTACAAAAATTTAAAAAGTTTTGCACTCTACGGCACTACCTACTGCGCCAAACAGCTTGCCAGTCAGGGCGACGCAAGAGCTTGAAAAGGGGGCAGGCCACAATGAGGACCAGATCAGAATTGTCAGGTCGTTTCGTGCTTTTTTATGTAACTTCAAAGGCCTGTAACTTTTTAATTTGGGGTATTGTGCAAAAAATGAGATTAAGAAACCCCACTTTATTTTTGGTTTTCTATCCACTGGCAAAGTTTCAAGTCAATTTGACACCTGACCCAAACAACCTTCCCTTGTTAGCGTTATCCTATCCTATAAGCGAGAAAAGTATGTCTGTTTTCTGTGCAGCCGATTTCTCGGCCGTCAGGCCGAATTTTGCGCTGATTTTTGGCATGGAGGTGGAGAAACACATCCTCTTTATAGGCATTTTTTTGTTTTTCGAAATTCCCTCATTTAAGGATTTTACAAGCAAAATAGTGGAAAACCCTTAACATTTTGGCCAAAAAAAAAGTTTGTTCAGAGGATATCTCGCGATCCAAAAGGAATTAGGCGCTGATTGTTGGAGGGCAGATTGAAAATCGAATTCTCCCGATATATAATTTTGCGTTTTTTCAGACTTTGTAAAATAAAATTTTTATGTGCGTTTTTCTAAAAAGTCCTTAACAAAGTGGGCTGCGCGCCGTGGTGTTCAGTCCATAACTCGATGCCCATTTGGAATTTCGGAATTGGAAAAACTTTCACTCTCTCACTTTCTCTACCGCTCGCGCGCTCTCTCTCTCTCTCTCTCTCTCTCTCTCTCTGTCTCTTGCTCTCTCTCTTTCTCTCTCTCACTCTCTATCGCTCTCTCTCCTTCTGGGCTTGAAGATATCAGGATGAAAATATCGATTGAATTTCATTACAACTCTCGCCCAGAATTTGTTTGTGCTGATCCCAGCCTCCTTGATCGATACCGCGCTTACAAATTGCTTCCAACCATCTGTGTCCATGCCATTCCTTCAAATAGCTCCGCCCTCCTCCGACAGTCCTGATCGTCCGCCCGACATTGATTGGCCCCGGGCTTTTCATTTTACATACAACCTAAAGATGGGTAAACGATGGCCGGTCGATCATTCAGTATGATAGTTATTTTTGTGCCGGTTTTTAATTTTTGTTATTGCTGATGCATTAATGAGGGGTCCATCTAGCAGGGCCCCGCTTCTCCCATACCCCTCGTATCGAAGCCGAGGTCCGAAAAGCATGGCGGTCCTCATTAATTCTGGATACCTTGATCGACCTTCTTTCGTTGCTTCAGCCCAGAATGCCAATTTCAAGTTGAATGCCAACGATGCCACCCGATACAAAGATCCTCTACGATCCGGTAGTCGGAGATGCTCTTCAGCCGAGGCTACGATGCAACAGGTAACACCTAGAATTTCGTGACTACCTTCCCATTAAATTTACAAAAGTAACAATAGGTGTATCCTTCCACCTCCTTTGTAAACTCATTTTTGCAGGACCGACTGCCAAAAAGAATTCACCACGTTATGTGCTTTGAAGCGTCACTTGATCCGGCATGGCGGGCCTGAACACAAAGTATGGAATATCCTAATTTTTTGCAGCATAAATTTAGTGCTGCATCTGCAGCGAGCCGTTCCTCAGCCAGTGCATGCTACGGCGTCATTTTGATGAGCATTGGCGTAAGTAAGATTGTTTGCAGAGGGTTCAGCTATGTTAGCCGACATCCCAGCCCATTTTCTGCCTAAACGAGCTCGTCTGACTGTCCAGGTCAAAGAAGAGGCCGTAGATGAACAAGTAAGTTCTCTAAGGGGAAAACCGGTTGCGGTCTGTTGTGTATGGTATTTAGTGGGAAAGTGAGTAATTTTAGGAAGAGCCCAGGATGCAGCCAAAAAATCCGGCATTAACCGCATCGTCGGTACCGCGACTTCACTGTCCATGGCACGTTGAATCCACATCAACTTTTAATTACCAGATCATAGCAAAGACTGCTAACAATTAATTTCGACTTAAGATGTCAAAATTGGTAATTTAGGCCGACATGCAAGGCGTCAACTTTCGATTCATACTCAGCACTGCGAGGTCATTGCGTTGAAGTCCATGTTGCTGAAGATGCAAAGGTATCGATTGCGGGAATCCGGCTATTATGAATGACAAATCCTTAGATCAATCATACAACCGCTAATCCACCTCAAGAACACCCCCTTCCAAAGATGGAGTTCAAGTGCATAAAGTGAGTCGTTTTTCAGTCCTATGATGGCTATCCTATCCTATAAGCGAGAAAAGTATGTCTGTTTTCTGTGCAGCCGATTTCTCGGCCGTCAGGCCGAATTTTGCGCTGATTTTTGGCATGGAGGTGGAGAAACACATCCTCTTTATAGGCATTTTTTTGTTTTTCGAAATTCCCTCATTTAAGGATTTTACAAGCAAAATAGTGGAAAACCCTTAACATTTTGGCCAAAAAAAAGTTTGTTCAGAGGATATCTCGCGATCCAAAAGGAATTAGGCGCTGATTGTTGGAGGGCAGATTGAAAATCGAATTCTCCCGATATATAATTTTGCGTTTTTTCAGACTTTGTAAAATAAAAATTTTTATGTGCGTTTTTCTAAAAAGTCCTTAACAAAGTGGGCTGCGCGCCGTGGTGTTCAGTCCATAACTCGATGCCCATTTGGAATTTCGGGCTGGAATTTGGACAAATTATGTATTCGATAGTGGGGATCACGCGCATCTTATCATCGTTAGAAATTTTTAGCAGATTCAGACTCAAAGATCGAGTTTTGTAAAGTGACCAGGAGGCCACCCGCCCGGGATCATTGGGGCGCCCTTTTCTTTGCCACCCCTCCTCCCGCGGCCTTCCCCAGAAAGAAGAGGCCTTTCAGGCCACCCGTTCACATCGTCTCTGTGGTGTAGTGGGTTGGCGCCCGGTCTACCACACGTATGGTCAGGAGTTCGGGTCCTGGGAGAACCCAACCTTTTGCTTTTTGGTAGTTTAGCAACAAAACGTATTTCTAGGCTCCCGATGTGCGAGGTTTAGGCCTGACCGTCGCTCTAGCGCCGCAGGCCAAAGAAAAGGGGCTTGAACCAGGCTCTTGCGCCGCAGGCCAACGATGGGTCCTTGGCCCAGGCTCTCGCGCCGCAGGCCAAGCTTGGGGGGGAAAACCAGTAACTAGCGCCTCAGACCCAATTATCCTAGCGCAACGCTGTCTCTGACGCCCCAGTCCAAAGAATGGATCCTTCACTCAGGTACCTGCACCGCAGACCCAAAAAAAGAAGGTATTCAAATTCATGGTTTCTGGACGGGGTCCAGTGGAAAAGGGCCGCGAAGCGGTCTTTTTCCACTGGTTTAAAAATAAACCAAATCAACCTGTAAATGAAAATAATAAAACATGACATAGGTATAGAACGTTTGCCCGTAGCGTGAAGGGGTTACTAGTATTTGGTAAATGGCAATGATCCCGATGGATGCTAGGCATTTATAGGGGGCCAAGATGAGGAACAATCGTGAGGTTTTGTAGTTGACTTGAGTTTTGTACCTTCAAAAACGTCGAAATTCAGATAAGAAATGGTACCTGGCGTCAACGGTCGCGTAGCGTGTCTCATAGACCGCTCGATATTTTGTGCGGCAAGTGATGTAGAGCCATATGAAAAACTATCAAAATGTTAAAAGCGATGCAGGGGGTGTCGTTTGGTATGGGTAGAATGCTTGTCGTTTACGCGCATTAATAGTACGTTAGCGTATCACGAGTATTCATTAAGGCCTAGAACTTTGCGCATTGGATCTGTCCGCCAATTGTAGTCTTAAAGGGGCCCAGAAATGCCAAAAATTGAGTGACGGCTCGAAAATCGGAGGCCTGGACGTCGGAGGCCTCTGTACACCCCGGGGCCCGGGAAGGTCGCAAATTTGAAATGACCTGTTGTCACCTCGAAATCACGTTCTCGGCTGTTTCTGGACCAAATTTGATGATTAAAACCCCAAAACTATTTAAAATTGAGTGAGGATTTCAAAAATGGGCTCAGAATGCGCAAATTATAGTGTTTTCACAACGAAACCGGGCAAAAACAGTTTCGCGCAAAAAGCGAAAGAGTGAGTGCTCTGGTCCCGCAGCGCCCGCTGGCAATTTGCCAGAAATCAAAGAGCCCTCCCAAAATGGCTTTGATTTGGCAGTTCGTAGCCCCTTTAAAGCAACACTTCCAGTGTAGAGTTTTCATTGCGATCTTGCCTTTCCCCTTATCGAAAAAGGAACCATTGAATGTATCCCAAAAAGATCAGCATCCGTTTCCGTTCCGGAAATGAGTTTCCCATACTTTTTGTGCATGACTGAAAATTTTCATGCTCCATTTTCCTAGATCAGCTTTCAAAGTCCAAGTAATCTTTTCCAACCCTTACCCAAATTGCCATAAATTGGAAGCAGTACGAGTTGACGTAGACGACCACTGGGGGCACGATATTTCGGTAGAGAAACAGCATGGCGCCGAGAAAGATGATAGACTAAAGTTAAACAAATTTAAACCGCGAAGAGTCCAAAGCCTACCAAGGCAATAATCGTCCTCCATGCCAATTTCGCGTTCATATGTTGCTCCTCGTAGTAATTCAAATTTTTCGTGGCCACAAATCTTTCAATAGCGATTGCAAACGGCACATTCATAGCAACACCAACCACTGAAAAATGTCAGTAATTTCCATTTTTAGCATTTTTTCATAGTTTTATCATTTAGGAGACTGAGACTTGCCATATTCACTGCCTAGCGATAACAATTGAAAAGCCTGGCGGTCCAGCGGATGGCCACTAATTTGCCATAAATGTCTTATAAATCGTATCATCGATCCGATAATTAGCAAGTTAAATTGGCACATAAGAATGCAATGTAGATTTGGCGGAAATACCTTAAAATACAACGTGTAATCTTTAGACCCCTCACCTTTTTCAGGCTCAAAACATGCCAAAATGGCAAAAACGATAGAAGGAAGACGATGAACGTCGAGACTTCGAGCAGCTAAATAAAACTTCTAAAGTTAAGTAGATTTTAGCATACCATACAGTATCCAAAGTATTCTTCGTAGAGTGCCGGGTGAATTAGGTCCCCGAAAACAACCTAGGGTGACATTTAGATTTTTTTGAATTCCGCTTTATTCTACCCCTTGGACGTCAAAAAGCGGTGTGTCGGGCTTGTTATTGACGGTCGTCATCTTTTCTGGAGATCACAATTCCCTTGAGGAACTGAGAAAGGTATTTTCGATCGATATGTCTGTCCCTAAAAACGTAGTTTTCACAAGGTACACGGTACACAGCAGCAAGATGGTACATTACATTCATCAGAATAACCGGAAAAGATGGTTCGGAACTACGACAAACCACAAATCAAAAAAGAAAACTGTTCGTTAAATAGGTATTAAAGCGGATCCTGGAAAACACTTCAAAAATCGGACGGTTCGGAATAACAATAGCCCTGGAATCCTTTGCGACAGCCGCTTAACAAAAAAACAAAACCGGATTTACATCTGGAGCGGCAGGTGCTTCTCCATTCCGGTCAAATGCCGGGTTCCGCGAAATTATTTTTGCGCCGTCAGACGGTCACTAAAAACCGGAATCTCTACTCAAAAGGTGCTTTTTATTTGCACTAATAGACACGACCTCTCGAAATACTCAAAGTGTAGAACCGAAAATCGTGGTGGGACGATTATTTATATTGATTTAGGGTGAGGCGAGAACCTACGAAAATTACGATGTGTGACAATCAGCTCCAGGAGCAAACTCCTTAAAAACTAGTGTAAAAAGAGTTTTGAAGGATATGATGATTTCTGCTCTAGAAACAATTCAGCAAGACTTCGCTCGACGTGTATGCTACCGGTCGCGTAGGTCTCCTATTGTTCGGCATGTACTCAATCCAATCTCGAACCATTGAACCATAGGAGAACCGCGGACTTTCTTTTTTTCTCTTTCACAAGATTCCTTCTCATATGTCTGAAAATACTTTCTTTACTGCTGCCCCTCTAGAACCCGTGGTCCTAAAACCAAAACCAAAATCAGCCCTATACTTGCTCAAAAAACCTCTGTCAAAAGCTTCCTTTTCTTCTCGCGTAGATGCTTCCTTAAATTCCTGTCCCCAAACTTCCATTATATTCCGTCTAAAGTTTTTAAAAATCATCCTTCCCGATTTATCCACGTCTCCTATCTACTGTAATGGTGTTCTCGTCATTCTACTCTTCTATTCCATTCCCTCTCTTTCACATCTTCATAATATTTACAATTAATCATAATTTTCCCTTTATTATCTATCCTCTCCACCACTCTATTTACACCTGATTCCTCACACTGTAAGAGTTGACTTTGTGAACCTTGTGTTGAGAATAAATATTATTATATGA